GCTCTTCAGCCCTCCCCTTGCTGGAAAACAGAAAACTGCCCTGGAGAGCCAGGGACATGCTCCTGGTGCACGATAGAGTTCAGCTCCAAAAGTTCTGCTGTGTCAAGACTCTTTGAGGTTTTGAAGGATTCTGAAGAGGATTTAACTCATAATGATGAAACAGGGCCAGAACACTGCACTGCACAAAGCAGAGATCAAATACATTTGCCCTCAAAAGGAGCATAAGAAATTGTGAGCTTCAATGCCTTGGCGAGCTGAGAATGAACAGCCTGAGGCAATACATGTCCAGAGAGCAGCAAATACAGCAAAACAGCAACTAAGTACCTCATTCTGCAGTCTAAGTATGACCAATTCCTCATGAGATTTTCCTATACCTAAAAAAGAGAGAGGAAATTTCTTTTAAAGGAAATGTGATCAAATCTCTGCTCTAAATTCACTGTACAGCTCCATATCAGATGCCTTCCGACAGCTAAGATTCTCCATTCATCACTGAAGCTTTGACTTCCTTGAAAAAGTTGCACTTTCGCCCTAATCACACTTCCCATGATACAGATGGCTCAAATATTCATTTACTTCCATGGGATAATAATCTTTAATGTGCATTATCAAATTTCTATCTGCAGACACTATTTAATGCAGAGTCATATTATATGATCATGCATTCAGGAAAGGAAGGCGACTGACTGGAATTTAATCCATGTTAAAGCAGAGAATTTAGAAAAGAATTTTAGACAGTGGTTTAGCAATAGATTTATTCACATTAAAAGGAAAACCATGCAAAACTGAAGACTGGTATGGCTTGATTTCTTTATGACTCCCACAAAATACTCTCCAACACAGCACATTTCTCTTACACCTTTTCACTTTGCCTAAAGAATAAATACCATTTCAGCAGAGAAACCTATCACTGGTTTTATACGCTTTCCTTTGAACTCTATCTCAACAGGATGCTAACAGACAATAAAACCTATTTTCTACTCCTCAACTGGAAGTTACTTCTGAAAAGAGGAATTATACAAATTGACCCTTATTGGCCAATTATTTTGGGCAAATAATTCTGTTTTCACTCTTTATTAAAATGTGCAGTGCCCACAGTTTTATTTTGATACACTGCAGATCCACCATACCATGTATCTGCATGCTCTGTAAGCTCAGTGTTAACAGTAGTTATTTCTGCTGTAGAACAGCTCTCAGATCTATGCAAAGCAAATACACTACAGCAGCTGCCAAGAAAATCCAAGGTTAACTCAATCTTTGCTCCTAAGATTTCACCTGGTATTTTTTTCTGATAGGCATTACCTTTTTCACTGTTAGAAAAGTCAGTGTCTGCCCCCTAAGTGATCAGCAGAACCTTACATTCACACTGTGATTTTCAAAGGAATTATGAAGGATAGCTAATTTATACCTTTGTCTTGTCCCTAAAATACACTTACATGAGTCTTATACTTTCAGGAAGCCAAACTGGAGGGAGTAAAGGACTCCTGAAGGAATCTAAGTCAGTGCTTTCAATTTTATGGTTAGAAATGGGGAACAGGGTGGAGGGAAATGACACATTTTGATTTCACTTACTATGATAATTTGTGTGAATTTAATGTAATAATTATAATTTGGGTAAGATAAATTCACAAACATTATCCTAGTAAAGAAACACATAAATATATTCATAATTCAGACATATTAAACAAAATCGTCTATTAATTATCAAGAACTGAGAAACTCCTAAACACCTGCACTAAGCTTGTACAAAATACTACAAATTGCTAAGGATTCCCTGAATATTCATTTAATTTGTTTGTGCTTAATTTGCAGCATATAAAATCAACACTTATGAACACAGATAAAGGCCTTCACACAGCCTAGCAGAAAGCATAGTACTGTGTAACAATGTAATCCATTTAAAAGCAGAAGAAAAATACTGGCATCATTTCAGAAACGTAAAGCACTCAGTACAGCTGGAAGAAGCATTTATTATTTATACTCTGGAGGCTTTTCATTCACATTTACCAACATGTTTACCATTTGGAATGAAGCTAAGTTATCAAGGCGATAGCCAAAGACAATTTTTTTTCCCCAATAAATTTCAAATCCAAACATTCAGGTGAACCATTCACATCTCTCCTCCCAGGTGACTGACAGAGATGTGAGAGGCTTAGTAAGATATGCTTGGATCAAAGTGGTAGATGCTATGTCACATATAGTTTCTGGATTTGGATACATATCTGAGTTAGTGCTAGAAATACATTTAAGCTTGCCAAGGCAGGTTGGTGTCATGAATAATGCATTGCATCCTACAACAGAGAACCCACCATAGAGGTTTTTATAGCTATCCATTTAACTGCTGGTCCAACATACAGAGCATGAATTTTTCACACAAAAACCTGTCTAGGGTTTTTGGGCTGTGGGTACATGACAAGTGACTGTTCAGGGCATCATGCTAAGCCAACAGCATAAAAAGTTAATAACCTTGCATGAAACCACAGTCATTTTAAAATCTGCCCACATAATTTGTGTTATGTTATGCTTTTATCAGTTACAGCAGTAAAAAACCTGCACTACAATTATGGATGGACTCAGATGCACAGGAAAAGACATTTCAAGTCACTGTTGAAAACCATTCAACTCTCTGCCAGTGGAGAAAGCTGCTGAAAGCACTTGTCATCTCAATTAACCAGCCTTCACTTATTTCACACTGTAAAAATGCAAATTGTCCTGTGACCCTTAAGACAATAATGGAATACCCACATTTCTAGAAAAGGTTATATTGCTTGTAACAATTTCTGTATATGTATCAGTATAAACACAATTGCCTCCCAAACAGTGATGAGCCTCTGCTTCCCAGATACTTCACTTTTGCCCTTAAAGCTCCCTGAATGCTGAGAGCTTCTCCTCTGTGCATGGCTCCAATTACCCCACTCCGAGCACACCTAAAATCCAGTTTGCTGAGGGGTTTATTCCCAGAGTATGTTCAAGTATCCTGTGGTCAGAGTAAAACAGAGTTGCTAAGGTTTTTCTTCCAAGATGGGGGTGTTTATGTTGATATGTGTATTTGCATAACAGCCTGGAGATCAGGAGACTCTTCCCAGTAGTGGGAGAACCAGATTCCACTTCCTCATTATCCTGGAAGCTGCAAACCTCATCTCCCACCATCCCAGAGAAGGTCCCAGCCCATGCCTGCTCTGGAGGGCAGGCAGCTGCCTCCTTTTCCGTACAGCAACTGCTCTGCAGCACAGAAAGGATACAGGATTCACAGATGAAAGAGGGCAAGCAAACATAATACTATTACTCATACAAAGTACGACAGAGAAATCTAAAATTATTTTATCATTGGCTATTTATCATGCACAAACTATATGCCAGTTGGTGTCAGCTGAAGGAAAAAGCAACTATTTCACAGCTAATATTTGGCCAGAGCCAAAACTTGGTCCCAGATTCAGCTAATACTATGGGATCAAATTCTTGTCAAAATCTCATTGTGTTGAACTTCTAACTTGACAGCCATCTGCCTCCACAAAAACCAAACTGCATACACAAAACATGCTGAGTGGGTATGAGATGGTATCTGTTTACTGGTTACTATTGAATAAATTTTAAAAGTAGTAATTGCCCTGTTAGTTTCTAGCTTTGATGTACTTCAGAAAAAAAAAATTTCAACCTTCAGGCAGGGGAAAAAAAGAACACTTAATAAGGTATGGCTTCCCCGAATCTGATGAACACAATCCCAAAGCATCTCTTTAAATAAAAAGTCAGAGCCTGTACTTTACAGATAACTAGGCTTCTGGAAAAATACCAAATTATACTTAGCTGGAAAGCAAATCTACACTGGGCATCAGGGACTAACTTAGGAAAAAAGAAAGGGGGGAAAAAAAAGGAAAGATGCATTATAAAGAGAGAACACTGGATGTCTGGATTAGTCTGTGCTCAGAAACAATTACCCCTTTTACGCCTCCCATCACATGAACAGTGGGTGAAAAATTCTGCTTCCAAATATAGTTTATTTATATACTGTATACACTATATAATATGGTCTCAGAAGTGATCTGGAGGTCGCACTGACCCAGGACACTCCTGTTTGCTCTGCAGGAAGCTGTGAAGTAGAAAAGAACTGTAACTGGGAGAGACAAGCTGGCAGCCCCAGCCTGCTCTGGCACAGCAAACCCATGTGTGACAGCTCCCAACAGAGCTGGGTGGGCCTGTGGTGCCTGGAATGCTCTCACTGGGACACCTGTTCCCATCCCTGCACTTGGACTTCCTTCCTCACACCCTGTCTGTGGATGTACAGCCACAAATTTCACACAAATTCACTGAAGTGGGTTCCCTGGTCGCCAGCCCAGGGGTGTGAGGACAAAGCACTGAATGTTCTAAACATTCCCAAGTGTGAGAGAAAGGTTTGTGTTCACATCAGGTGATGTAAGAGTTGAGACAGATGCTGAATGATTAATGCACATCAATGTATAGGGGACCTGAGGGGGAGGGAAAGAGACAGGGTCTGCTTGGCTGATGGAGGCTGTTAGCAGTCAACTTTGAACATGGGAAATAAATTATGAGCCAAAGTTTTCTAAAATATAATCAATGGAGGCAAACACCCAGCTAGAAGACCACAGACAAATTAAAGTAATGCTTAAAATTTAAAATAGTTGCATAAAAACAGAATAAAAATCCAGAACACCGGTTTCTGTAAATAATGTTAAAAATTAGATTGGACCTTAACAAAGCTGAAAAAGTAAACAACAAAAAAGAATCAATTTAAACTGCCCTATTTGATTTAAGTAATACTACTGCAAGTTCTTTATTCTTCATTATGCAAACCTCTTTCCATTGATCTGACAGATCTGATTAAATGTTTCTAAGCACTCCCCAAGCTGAAATTGAAGTCATTCACAAGATTATTTTCTACTATTCAAATGACTATTGCATTAAAGCAATGTAGTATGGCTATGAACAAGGATATGTACTCACTAATGTTAAGTCAAAATATTAATGATAGATGCTGATCATAGTTTTTCTACAATCCAGTTTTATTATGTCTTTGAGAAAAACACCATGCTTCCAAACTTAGTAAAAATTGCTATGTTACAAAACCAAAAGCTGTCCCCAGGCAGAGGAGGATCTCTTCAATATTAGATGTGGAGTAGAGCTGTGAAAAGTATTCCTAAAACCTGTAGCTCCTCTCTGGTACTTCTGACACTACTGCAAGTTACAACAAATCTTCTTGTCAGGGGACGAAAGGTTCAGGACTGGAATTGCTGCAGGATCATGGGCTGTCACTGAAATTTAAAGCTTCCTTCTGTGCTCTCAGGAGTGAGGAGCAGAGGTCACAGCTCAGCTGCTGAGGGTCCCGCTGCAGCCATGCTCAACTCTGCCATCATAGTACATGCCAAGCTCTTAGATCTGTGTAGAATACTTCTCACAGTGGAGAAAAGTGGTTGACTTTCCAGCTCAAGGGTTTTTTACTTGTCTGTAGGAAATAATAGGTGTCTGATGTGTCAGAAGGTCTGCGCCTCTGCCTGTTTACACTTAAGCTTCAACCACTGCTGGCAATCCAGAAGCACAAGTATTTAATGCCAGGTTCCTTCTCCATCTCCAGATTTTGTTTTCACTGCCCATAAAAAGGCACCCTGACTGTTGAGATTATGGCAACACAAAACTCCAACATGAGTATTAAAGATCTGTAAATCTACTAATATTCAAATCTATTCCCAAGGGAAAGGAGCAGCTCTGAGAACCCAAGGTGTGCTTTGCTGCATGTCAGGGAAGCTACAACGTTGTTATGGCACCTGCAAGGGAGCAACAAGTTCTGAGTCCTAAAGCAAACCCCCACCAATAATCCTTTCTGAGTCAAACTTACTGATGTCAAACCTAATTCAATTCTCTTTACTCCTGCAGAATGCCAAGGGAGACAGACAGCATCTTAGACAGGTCTCGAGATACCATTTTTTCATGTTTATTCAATTTCAGAAAAATTATATACTTCCCCTAAAACAAATTGTTTTGTCAATATTTCAAAAGAGTAAATAGTGTGAGTCATACTGCTCTGAGTCATCCACCTGAATATTGATTTCAGGGAAAATCATACAATATCTGATTAAAGATTATTAATTACTCTTACAGGATTAATTCTCTTTTATAGTACTCAACAGCTTTTGGGAGAACATAAGTCTTGTCAGATCAAATACTCCCACTAACAGAACAGCAGAAATTGCTAACATATTTCTGAGCATGTTTTAAGCTTTGAACTTGATACCACACAAGTTGCTGATTCTAAGAGACAGGAATACCCAGCAGCTACAGGGCAACATCAAACTGGAAAATACTTCCTTGATACTACACTTCTTAGTAAGTCATTACCAATAACTTAGGGTGAAAAGCTACCTAGAGACTGATTCTCAGCCCATGATACAATGTATTCTTTTAATAATAGCAAATATACAATTAAAGCTGATAATGTTTCCAAAAGAATAAGGATGGATAGAATGGAAAAGAGTGAACAATAACTACAAAGTTTGCTTGGTAAACTGAACTCGAAGAGCTCTTCTAAACAGTCAAATACAAGGTGTGTGATGGCAAAATTAAACAGTGTAATCTCTGATGAAAGGACCTAAAGAATTGTCAACAGCAACTATCTCAATATGAGCTACCAATTCACAGGTTTAACCAATAACTGAAGAAATGTATTATCTGTGGTTTGCAGAGAAGTATATTAGATGGTCATTATTCTTAATGTTACTGCTTGTGAAATCTATAAGTAACAAGTGCTGCAGAAATCATTTGTGTTGAGCTTCCCCCATGTAATCTTACAATAAATTACATCAATCATAATGCTGCTGGCTGCCTGTATTGGCAGATCTGTAAATTGGAGTTCATTCTTTGATGTTTCTGCAATTCTAACTTTGATACCTGAAGCATATAAAAAAAAAAAATCTATATTAGACAACTACGGACTTGTCAAATTTCTCACACTTGATTTAAAACAAAGCCTCAATGGGTTTGATCAATGATGTTCTATGCTGATCCTGGACACAATTATTAACAACATCACTAGCATTTATATAAATAAACTTTCACCATGTCCCAGATAAAATTACAAACCTGTAATAATTGAAACTTAGAGAAGCCAACCCAATGTCAGATTGCTGCACTTTATTTTATGGCTTTGCAGAGCTCATACATCACTTCTTTGTAAACACTCTGCTGGCCTTGATGCAGTGCAGCTTCTCACAGTAGAAAAACAAAAGCATTTTTAATTATCACAATGAGAGGCATAAGTAAGGAAAAACAATGCTATTCATTAAACCTTTCCTAATTGATTTTTACACAGGCCTTTTTAACCCAGTAAAGTGTAGCCCGAAAGCTAAGTAGAACTATTATTATTATTCAATTTTAAATGGCATAAATAGAAAGAAACATGGATTAAAAGACCAAGCTCTGCAATTTGCAATCTTAAAACAGAGATGGATTGAAGAATTAGGAAAAAAAAAAAAAAAAAAAAAAAAAAGTAGTTTCAAACCTTGAAGACCGTGGTTTGGAAGCATCTTTGTGGTAATGTTCCTTATTATGGTAGATATTTGGAACAAAATGAGTCTGTTCTTTTTCCTGGAAACAGGATACAATGTACAGTAAAAATGTTTAAAAAACAGATCAGAGTACTCTCAGCTTCCATTTTAGGAGAAAGATAAAGTAATTTGTTTGCCTCTGATGGCATCTCCACTTTTTCTAATTCTATTAACTGAGCTCTGCCAGAAACTATATACTCATAAACTCACTTATGAGGTGTAAACATTTGTTTTTGCAGTAAGTCAGCAAACACAGCATGCCAGGTATCTTCAAAGCATTTCTTTGCCATTGGATTATAATGGCTAATTTTGTTAAGAACTGACTCCTAAAATAGTGGCATTATCACTGTCATATGACAAAGGTGGTGCAGGGCAGAGTGGAAGGAGTGGACGCTCAGTGAGGCTCAGTGAACTCTGCAGAGCTTGGAAACATGAAAAATAATTGAATAATTCTTTCTTGGACAGACCAAAATGTGTTTCCCAACTGCTGGAATCACTGAAGTTTGCATTGTTTCACACACCCACCTCTGCTGAAGGATATTTAAGAAGCACATCTCTAATAAGTTCTAAAAATAGCATGAAGTCTGGGTTTTTGGCAAAAGGTTTCAAGGAAAGGGTACTACAGTACACATCACATGGTATCAACAAGAAATGTCTAAATCCCAAGGAATTCCAGAGTATATTGAAGCATTTCTCTCATTTGAGTAGTTTAAATGAACATATAAAAGGCACATGAAGAGCATATAGGGTGTATCCTTAAATGGTCTCCTGGCAAAGGAAATTATCTTCAACTCCAAAATAAAACCTAAATTCCAGATTAGGTTTAATTATAGATTGAATGTTAAAGATCAGCCTCAAAGAAAAACCATGTACAACCTTAAAAAAAAATAGAGAGAAAACTGATCCAATTGCTAAGTTTCAAAGGACAAAATGTTCACAGGAACCATTTGTCTGAGGGAAGTCTCATGCAATGAGAAGCAATGTTTTGAAGCTGATAATTAAGAACAGGATGAGGTTTTACTGGAACAAGTATGCTGAACATGAACTCCTGGCAGCAGATTAGGGAACAGCATCCCATGACACACATTTTTGCCAAACCACCTGGGATCTCAAGCAGCTTCGCACTGCGACCCTTACGCTCACTGGGTAAACTAAAACACAGAAATTGAGGTGAAATGGCAAAGCACTCAAGATGACCAGCACTAGGAAGCAACCCCTTAAATCCACTGCTTTCCAACATTTCTTACAAAGCAGAAACAAAGGCCTCTGAGAGGCTTCTGACATTCAGCCTCTCTGGACAGAGTTCATTAACACAGTAACATTTAGTTTTAAAAGTATGAGCACCTGATAAGAGGCTTGATAATAGGAAGTATCTAACAAAATTTTTGTATTTTATTACATACTGGGAACAAGTGCTAACATTGATACAAAAAAAAAAAGTCTATACTAAAATTATTAATAAACAATTTTATTCCTAAAAACAATGACCCTAAGAATTTTATTTTTTTTAAATACAAAATCTTATAAATATGTTATGGTCAGTTGATTATTTTGGTTGATAATGAAACTGTAACCTCATTGAAAATACATGTGAAAATACTAACCTCATTACCTAAAAAGCAGGGGGGGAAGGTGGGGGAAGAAAAAGCTGTGTGGCATTAATCTTATGCAGAGATTCTAAATTATATGTTTTATTATCCTACAGAGATTTATGTTCCCATTATCTCTTACACCCACATAAGACAAAGCAAGTGTAAATCTGTCTTTCTCTGTGCAGGGAATTTCTTAATGCTGTATTAGAGAGATAATTATTCTACCCCCACATCTCATAACATTGTTTTTTTTAACAATCAGAAGTACTCTGAGTTAATATGAAGACAGATGTTTTGACTGAGAGCAACCATGGATGTGTGCTGAAACTATAAATTAAAACCCTGTATGAATAAATATTGAAATACACATTAATCCTTACTCTAAGGGTGATCTTCCACTACCAAGGAAGATGCTTGACCAGCATTGTCTCTAAATATTCACAGCAGCCAAAGGAATTACATTTCTCTACAGCTTTCATAGGTTCATTTAGTCAAATTGCAAAACACCCAATTCCTTCTTCTGTTAATTGTACAGAGGGTAGAGCTGTCCCAACTGTGCCAATTCACACTCATATAAACAACAGAAGTACAGGCTGAGTGCATCTAAATTGAGACACAGTTTTTAACAATACAAATGGCATGAGAAAAAAAAATTTGCAAATATGTCAAATTTGTATTTGATATATTTTCCTATATCATCCCCCAATATGACACACATCATCCATTTAGCTGTGATGGGATTCTGACTGAAAAGTCACCTGCCAGCCATCTGCAAGTGGTAACTACTTCCCCAAACTCTTAACAAATTTCAGCTGTCACGATGTTCCCTAGAGAGCAAGATGGTGTCTGGGTTAGATATAATCAAGAATTTTGGGTAATTATAAACTAAACTCATGCTGTGACTTGGAGTTTTAACAGGTAAACCAGTTTAACCATTGAAAAATACTGTGAAGAACTCCTAAAAATTCTTAATTTGTGTTCACAGAACCATATAATCACAGGATGGTTTGGGTTGACGAGGCATTAGAGATCATGCAGTTCCAAGTCCCCTGCCATTTCCCTCAAAGGACACTGTTTGTTGTGTAACACTTGTGAAGTTTGCAAATTGCTCAGTAACTGAGATGTATTTCATGGAGCTGGTCTGTCACGTGGCTACACTTGCCATTTTGTAAATGAACACTACTGGGTTTGGTAGCAACTAATATTACCATGCAAGACAGCAGAGTTTAATGAACTGCAAAGCTGTGTACCCGAAGCAGCAGGAACACACCCTCGAGAATACTCTCATCTGGATGCTTGGGAAGGTTTGCATACAAAATTCCTCAAACGGAAACATAAAACTGAATTTTTCATTGAAGCTGAGATGCACCCTGTACAGCTGAGAGAAGAGGGGACACATTCCTTCCTCTATCCACTCTCCCACAACCATCTCTGAAGTGAAGGGCAGCTTTTGGGTGCTCTATTATTATTATTATTTATTATTATGCCAGCCTTTCTTCCAGTTAACAGTCACCTGTGCCAAACGAAACTCAAACCAAATGATGCTCAGTAACTCTCCAAGCAAGCAATCCCCTGCTCTGGTTCTATGTCTCCCCAGGATAGTCTTCCTCATGGAAATCCCAAACCATCTGGTTAGCCCAGTTTTTAACTTGCTTTGATCCAACAAAGTGGCTCCAAGCAGTAAGAGAGCAAAAACTGTAGAAATGCCTCTTGGTATTTTGTACGTATTGAAGCAGATACTGATCCCAGTCTGGTTAAAGTAAATCCAGTGAAGCAGATACTGATCCCAGTCTGGTTAAAGTAAATCCAGAAGAGCTTTGCTGAGGACAGAGATGCAGGTCAGGAAACTTCATTTGGCTTCTCTGCCCAATATAAAGCACAGCTGTTTTTTAAGTAAACAAAGAAAATACCACCACTGTGCAAAAAACTTCATCTCCTATAAAATCAGCATCGCTCTTCTGAAGTCAACTGAGTTATAAAAATTTACATCAGCTGCAGATTTCCTCCTGTATGTGATGAAGAGTGTTTTGTTTGCTCCCCTGGGTCTCAGCTCAGGCTCTGTATGAATACAAACGGAGTTTTTTCCCTAAATGAGCACCAACACATCTTCTCCTGAGTCACATATCCTTAGCTTCTACACACTGCACATTGCCAAGATGACTAAAACACCTTTAAAAAGTATTTAAATGTTTTCTTCAATAAAAAACATCAATGGCATGGTTTTCTTACACAGTTAGAAAACTCACCCTGTTTTATTGCCGTTCATTGCACCAGAATGTTAAAAACCAAATTTTCTGTAGAGAACAGGTCTCAGGATAATATACAGCACTGAATAAAATGGAAAGGAAACTTTGAGACAGAGCAACCAGCACCCCTGAAAAGGCCAAACAAAATGATGTGGTATGACTGATTTAGCCAGGCATTACAAAGAACAGGATAACAACAAAATCATGATGAAAAAAATTACAAGTCTGCACACATGTAACTAACTGTAATCTTGGAACCAAAGTTATTCTTACATCAATTTTATGGATATAAATTTATATGCAAATACTTGGATTTCAGAAATAAAAACAGAGTAAGATGCTCTCAATTAACCAGCAGGACACACTACATCAGAGCCCTGATGTTGAAAATCTGCTTTTCAAAGACAGCAAAAGTCACATCTGGACGTCAGTAAAAATCGTGTTATTATGTTTCCTTAGAAAAATGTAGCATTAGTATTTTCAAAGTATATGTGATACTTAATTTGCCAGTTTCAGGGAAGAGTATACATTTTAAAACCTCCAGATACTCTGTGTATATTATTGCATTGTCTCATTAAAAAATGCCACAAACTCCTAAGCAGACAAAGGCACCTATTCAATTTCACATAATGCTCACATAGTCTGTCTTGAAAAGTGTTATTGACTTCTAAAGTTGAGCATGCAAAAATGAGAAAACATTAGAATTAGATCTGTTTGTGTTTATTCAATTTAGCAAATCCTAGTGTGCATGTTGGAACCCTGAGCTCTTACCTTGTCTGTCACATAAGCTCTAATTTTAGTGTACAAGAGTCATTCCTCATGTTGGGTTTGCTGCAGTTATATGAAGGGTATCCTTTTAATACAGAAAATGTTTTATTCTTAAAGGCTTATTTCTGCTGCACAGAACCCAGTACCGAAATGTCAGTCAAATCCTGTGGGATGTGATTAGTCATATTAAATCCTGCTTGAAATTCTACAGATCCTTGTGGCTTACTAATACTGCTGACAACAGCAGAGGGGTTGGTGTAGAGGGACGTGCTTCCCTTATTCCTAGGAAAGCCATCTGCAAGCCTACTGACGTGTGGCACTGTTCAGGTCTCACAGTGACACACCTCAAGAGCCTCAGCAGACCTGAAAACAGCTCAAAAAAAAGAGGGTCCCAGCTCCACCACACAGGTGAAAATATTTTGTCTAAAGATTTCCAACTAACTCTAACCAGCAATGTGTCCATCAGAAGCTTAGATATAAACTCAGACTTTGTTAATGTCAGAGTAAGAGCAGCATGGTCTTGAGGAGACAGGCCTGGTGAAGCTAAGGTTTGTGTGATGGCACTTCCAGGAACTGGCCAAAGAGTAGGATTCACAAAAATAAACTGAATAGTTTCATGTATAGTCAAGAAATAAAAGAAAAATAATTCCTTTTTCTCTTTTCTTAATAACTTGTATCTGAATAAGGACTTCACTTAATGTAAACCTAATGCCATTCCTCTAATGTTGCATTTGATGCAATTTCTATTCATAAAAACAGATTATGAGATATTGCAGCAGGAGGATCTCTCTCTTTGAAAGCAGAACATTAGGAATTGCATTGAAGAAAACTGGGATAAACTACCTTCATTTCTGTATACAAAAATACAGAATAACTCAATTTCAGAATAAGGAACGTTGGAATTATAGTGGCATCAACTATTAAAAAAAAATTAGGCTTGTGATTACCGGTATAATGCTACTAGAAGCAAATAATAAAAGTAGAGATTCCTAGCAGAGGTTTCTCAGAATACTTACCACATTCTACTTGGAAGTTGTAGTGGAGATGTTTGTTTTCTTGGGAAATAGAACAGTTGGAAACAAAGGAGGCAGTAGAGCACTTGGAGAACTGGCCCAGACCTCTGAACCGATTGGTTTTTCCTCCAGCAGCACCACTTGCCTTCCAGGAGACCTTGGAAAAATTTTTATTTTCTGTGTTTCAATCTTGTCACCTGCAGACAGGTACAATAACCCCCTATAAAGCTTTTTTAAAACTCATAGACAGAAAGCACTGTAAGAATTATCCTTTCCCACCACTAAGTGTTCACAATGCAAGGGAGTCTGCAAGATCTAAGCAATCTTTTCATGTACTTAATTCACATTTAAGTTTCTTAATGCATTCCTAGGCTATAATCATGTGCTGTTTTGAAAGATATATGACCACAATTCACATTGCTTTAATGATTAAGGAACACTAATATGGTCCTGTGAAACCACATGCAACATAACTCAGCCTCCCCTGGTACACCTGTGTCCCTATATTGGATTGCAAAGCAAGCAATAAAACCCCATAAACAGCTGAAGCAGAATGAGAGTTATCAAATAAAACATCTACACTAATATTTAGATTCCATACCACCATGGCATTTTATTTTACCTCATCCACCATGCAATGATCAAAAATACATCATTTTAACCAGTAAGCAATACATTTTGCTGAAATTACCAGAATACACCCATATAGATATGAAAATCTACATTAAAATGGCAAATTGCAGGAAAAAAAAAACAAACCCCACACAAAAAAAAAACAAAAAAAACACCAGAAAGTACAAAGTGCAGGTAATTTTCGAATGTGGATGTTAGAATGAACAAATATTGGAGACTGAGAGCACAGTACTGCCAAATGTTACTGTAGCCTCCAAGCAGGCAGATTCAGAACGGAATGATTGCTAAGAAGTGGCTGTAAAAGCAGTTCTGCTCTTACCTATGTAACCTGGCCAGGAAACCCAGCTGAGATCCCCTTGAATTGTCCAAGCTAATGGAGCTGAGCATGTGAGGGCCATCCCATGTAATATCCACTGCCATTTCCACAGTGCTTCTGGTGATAAGAAATAATTTTTTTCCATGATTGCATAAGTATTTTTCTTAGTTTGAAAACTAACTCTACAATATCATTCAAAAGGCATTTATTCTTAGTTGTTACCTCTTCCCTCTTTCAATTATTCTGAGAATTAAATGGATGCAGGAAGTAATACTCCCTAAAATACCCAAGACTGTAAGACAATTCTGCAAGATGTCTTACACTGCCCTGAAAACTAACAGAAATAAGAGACATTTACCCCCTCAAAAAACCCACATATGAATAAGACACAAAAACTAATTTTAATCCACTCGAGTTTTTTAAGCATTCAAGCAGGCTCTAGCAACAAAATCTTTTATACAGTTACACATCTGCTGAGATGGCTAAAAACTGAAAATAAAAAGATTATCCCTTTTATCAGCACAGGTAGGTAAATATATTCCACTCCTTAATTATTTGGCAGCTATTACAAAGTAATTATCAGCTTGTGAGATTCGGAGATAGAACAATAAAAGCAGATTACTGTTCAACACTCAATTTTCAAGACACAAAATGCGACAGCATTTTCTGTTTTAAAACTAGAACTGTACTCTCATTACTCCTGAAGTGAATGAGACCTTTGCAGTAAACTTACTCTGAACCTTGGGGAAGTCTTGAGTCTGCCTTGAGCCACAGCAGGTATATCATTTGTTCTACATTTATCCAGAACTACACAGTCTAGATCATCATTTCAGTTCCACAATTATAAATTCAAATCCTGCAAACGGTCTCTTCATGGAAAGGCAGACAGAAAACTTCACACTTGCTGCAATTGCTTAACACCCAGGAAATCAGGCTTGCAATTCAGAACCAAAAAGAACACTAGATTTTTGTAGAAATAGGGAGGAGATAAGGTCAGAAACATTCTGTAATGATTTGGAAGAGATTATGGGATCATTTGCTTAGGTGAACTGACATATTAAGCATCTTATATCAGGACTATTTATGCTGTGCTCTTTTTTGCTTCAGAATCCAAATACAGATGCTGCTTTCAATTTGTAAAGTCTAGGCAGAAAGCTGCAGACTGTTTTTGACAGAACCATCACACTAGAGCATTTTCTAACACATATTTCTTAATTTTCTGTTCCCAGCATGAAGCCCATTTCCTCCCCAGAATTTAGCATTAAATGGATTTGGACTGGAGGCCAAAGTCGTGAGAGCTGAGGGCAGTTAAGTCATCTTGTTGCACTTGTTAAGAATAGGCTTGAAGGATACCTGTTCTCACAACTATCAGTTGTCATTTTCACATTATACTTTCACGATGTGAAGGTGCTCACAGAGTCAGGCAACACTTCATTTTTAATAAGTACAGAATCAAGAGACACCTTAATTTCTTCTTTAAAAGGATGAAAAAAGTCTAAAAAGCACTAAAAAGCAATTTTATTCCCTTTTAAAAGTGTTTTCAAAGAGAGAGCTAACAGCTATTTTATTCCTCCTACATTCGTCTGTTTGTCTTCATCATTTCATTCCGAGGAAAAGCTGTTGCACTGTTTCAACTTGTGGACTGTTACATTTTTTTTTAGACTGACTCGCATTGTCACATCCAGTTCCTCTGTAAATCACCTCATAAGGCTCTGCACCTTTCCTGAGTTTTATTTCTCCTACTGTTATCTGTAAAGTCTGCACCAGAACAATGATTCCACTCATTTCAACTGCTGTGCCATATGTCAGTGATGTGCTTCCAAAACGCTTTTTAAGCTTTGCATTCCAGATCAATACCCTCACACATTTACTCACAGCAGCAGCTGCTTCAAGAATCGTGTTGTGCTGGGCACCTGGAAGGCTCCAGCCTCAGACAGAACTGCCAGTGACACACATGCATTTCCTACTTGACGTGGAATTTGCTGTCACTTCTACCACACATCAGCAGGTGAGATCAGCAGTTTTAAAACATCCATTTCCCAATGCCCTCTCACCTTCTGCTATATGGGATTGCCTCCATGAGGGAGCATTTTTGGCCTTCCACTAGGCAAAAAAATAAACCCAAAGTAGAATTCAAGAGAGACATTTTGCCTGCAAATGGAAGCAATTAAGTGGAGCAGCAAAGCTCACAGCAGCCATTCAGTTATGAGAATATCTTTTCAGTGAAACACTGGAATCAAGTTAAAGAAAACATGTCTGATTTTTGTAGGTTTTACAAGTACAGTGGCATGGCTGTGAAGACCACCATACTTAGAATGCAGCTTTTATTGTGTTATTTCATTTGATTCAGCTTTGCTTTTCAAATCAGACAATGTTGTACATGGCCTTTTATCCCAAATATGTCGATAATTTTACGATCCCTAAGCCTTAAAAAATGCAGTTTTCTAATTGGGGTGGACAACAGTGTCAAGAGTTAACAATGTGGATTCACTTTCTTGCTGTAGGAGAAGAACTATGCTATATTCAAGTTGCATGATTTCTCTTTGTCTTTGTTTTCAGACTGAAAAAGAAGAAGTTTCTGCACTTACTGCATGGTACTGTACTGTAAGGTTTTATTAATTCAGGCCTTGTTTTCTCATTCCTTATAGCATCATTTCTACCACTAGTTCCATTAATCCTAGTAAAAATTCTCAGGAGGATATCTATTGCTCTTTCTGCAGGACAGAGAAAATTTTTCATTAAGAAACAACAGTTTTTCCCCTTCCCCACCAGCCTTCAATGCCTTTTTCTAATTAAAAGTACATTAACTCCTTGAGAGCAACAGAAATAAAACTACTTTCTCTATAAGTTGTATTTTTCACCTGCCCTTCTTAAAGAGAAAGAGACCAACCTTACAAATGAACTAGTTGGAACCCTGGCAGCAGAAACAGGAATTTTCCCTTCTGCACTGCACCTACAAACATATACAAGTTCCCTTTGCTTTTTACTTTAGCCTGAGGCTTCCAGTATGTAGAAACCTGCTGTCTAAAATGAAACTTATACATTTAATAAGAATTCAAGGTTGTCTGAAGAGAATAGGCTCTTTTATTAACTACATAAGTCTGAAACTCAGACACTGCTCAGAGTTCTGTAAATATAAGTCTATATTTCACCATGGACATGTTCAGTGACTTAAAAGCAATATAAACAAGGTAATTCCTACAGGAGTGTGGCATCCTTTTCTCAGTGCAGTCATATCTATCCCAGTTACTGGCTACTTTACTTTACTACACTTTATTTCTTACAGTGTTCTAGAGGAGGTTTTTGTGTTGGGTTTTTGTTTTTTTACAAGGAAAAAACTTACAAAGAATAAGCAGCATGTGAATAGCAAAGACATTGCTCATGTTTTTATGCAATATAAAAAACTCAATAACTGTATGAACAATGTTGGTACAACACAGTATTTTCGTTAGGAATAGAGCTATATTTCTCTGCTACCTAAAAAATCAAACTCAGAGACTGCAAAAGGAAAGAAATCCCTTTCCTGCCTACACAGTAGTGTTATAAAGTCTCCAAAGCAGGATATCATGCACATGCCATATCTTGTATAGCAAAATATGCTAGCCTCATTTTTCAAAAAAGAAACAACACAAAAGAGAAACTTCTTAAGCCTAATGTGGCAGACAACTGCTGCCATTTGCAAATACTTTTTGGGTGCAAAAGTTGAACTACTCTTATCTCTAAAATACAAGGTTTTCCTAAGAAACCCAGAAAAACACACTTTTTTTTTTTCCTAGACACTGAACTGGCAATATTTCCCTACAGAACAGCTCTGAATCTGAAAAAAAAAACCAAAAAAACAATTCCTTGACCCACGGCTGGACTGTGAGTGTGGAGGATCAACAGTAGAAGCACTGCAAAGATGAAGGTAGCAGCTCTGTACCAGGCTCTGGTCCTTCTCTAACCTCCCTGGAGCTCGTTCCTCCCTGCCCAGCCTCGCTGGTGGGACTGCACAGCCAGAACAGGACCCAGGGCAGGGCTGTGGCCATCAGGACTAACGCTGGTTTAATCTGCACAGAGCTAGGGCTACATGCTAGAGCTGGCAAGGAGAGGAACTGAACTGGTTTGAACAGCCCCAAAATTATTTCTGGAGAGTCTAAAGGCAAAAAGGAGCTGACATGAGCTCTATGCAGCAAATAAAAAGGGCATAAACAGGGACCACACAAGATGGAAAACATTTGTGGCCATGAGATTTACGTTGTTGAAGGACAAAGAGTAAAACCTACAAGAACAGACGTTTCCTACTGAATATGTGCAAGTAACTGTGAAGCCCAGACTGCCCTGAAGAGTGATATCAAAGGATTCAATTAAAGATAGAAAGGATTTATTGCTTCCACAGTTTTACAACAGAGCTGTAGAAGACAAAGTATAAGGACTGAAATTGTAAAACATTTTAATGCTTCTGAAAACAGATAGTGAGGAAACGGGTTTTTTTCCCCAGACAGTATTAAAGCATGTAACTCTGAGCAGCCTATATTAATCCTCTGAGCTGCAAAGGTAGTTGGGCTTGGATTATTTGGGAGTGAATGACAGATTTAGCTGTACTGGTGAAACAGTACAAAAGCAAAGGATTTCACCAAAATTATGTGAAAAAGCAACCAATGTCATTTAAGATGACATCAAAACCTTGCTTTAAACACAGTTCCAAATTTTTTCAAATCTCCAGAGACAACCAGAAATAGAGACTGAAATTACTCACTATAAGGTTCTGGAACCACAACAAGAATTAATTGCAGTGACTAAGCATACTTCTCTTGCCAGTAATGAAAAAAAAAAAAAAGACATCCTTTATCCATGATAATTTGACAGTAGTTGTTATTATTAACACAGAAATAAAGTGATCAATGCCCTCTCTCTGAAATACAGAACTTTTCATATTAACAGGTGACAAGGTGAGCGATCTTACTGGAGCTCAATTAGAAACCAATTCTGAAAGGGAATATTTCACACTGAATAAGAACTACAAGGACAATACGAACACTGCTGCAAAGTTACAGAGAGCACAAGTTCTCCTCAAGACTTCTACACAGTGAGCAGGGATTGATCAAACAATGGAGAAAGTGTCACCAAAAATTCAACATGCAGCCGCTCTGCTATAGATTAGTAGAGAATTCAGGAAAGATTTGTGGTCAAATCTGCAATTATTTAGTCATAAGTGGCCTTACTGCAGATTGCAGCCACAACAAACAGTTTTCATCAGACTTTTCGTTATTCAAACACACAGATCCCAGTCTTGCAGGTGATATCCTGCTCTCACCATCTGCATCAGAGTTTATAGGGATTTCAGGAAAACAGCAAATTAAACATGGCTGAAAAATGCTGATTTTCGTCAGATTTCCCAGTCTAGGTTTTAGTTTAGGGTTGTTATTTTTGAGCATTCAGAGACATTCATTCAGCCATCATTTCGTTATGGAAAGTGAAAAGTGATGCTCACAGGACTACCATTTACTTGTTAGGGTACACTCTGGTCATGGAATTTGACACTTTGGATCTCGCACACCTTAATGGAAATAACCTCCTAAGCCTGGTTAGATCCAACACAACTCAAAAACCTGGTCTCCAGCAGAACGTAAAAAATATAAGAACCTTCTTCTTTTAGGGAAAAAAAAAAAATAAAAAAAAAAATAAATTTGCATTACTATCTAAAAGTTTAGTTTTAAATCTACAAGCTAGATACCAGAGCCACCCACTGTGAATGAGATGTGTGCGCTTTTACCAAGCCACTGGAATCTGACACAACCTCATGCACCTAGAACACTTTATAGAGCCACTATAATCAATGATCAAGAATCAAGAAGTATAACAAAAGAGTCCATATATTTTTTAAATACCTATGCCTTTATTGCACTTTTTACTATAATCTTAACTTACATAATCACAATAGTGTTTTTCAAATATTCCAATATAATATTAAGCAATTTTCTGAAGGACTGATTTAGAACTGTACTGCTGAAGTGATTTATACTTTAATTCCCATGCACTTATCTAAATTGAATTTAATCTGACATCTTATTACCAAGTTCTATTACATTCTCCTAGAGCTCTTAGTAGTCTTTTCTAAAATTGCCTAATTTATATAAATTTATGGCATTACCATGTATTGACACCCTGCTTTTCACCATTACTCTAAGCAGAAAATATAATAATATATCAGTCAGTGTACAAAGCCTCAAAGAACCCCAATATTTGACTTCTTTCTAGTCCTTCCCAGTCACAGGACTTGTTCATTTAGTTCCCTACCAATTCATGAGCAAGCATGACTGCACTGACCTTCCCCTTGCCTTAGTTGCTCCAATTTTCCTTAACAACTTTGAATGAGTTGCTAATCAAAGTGCCATCTCCTAAATCCTGCTGTTTTCCTTCCAATAAAAATTAGAAAAAATAGCTACATACATTCTTCCAAAAAATGTTAGACTTTGATAATCCTGGTGGGCCTCTTCCAACTCAGAATATTCTATGATTCTATGAAATATTGTTCATGTGTAGCAACACATTTCTGACCACAAGAACTGCTACTTGAAGTACCCCAAAGCTGAGGCCCTGGTAAATTTTAAGATCAGGATTCTAAACAGGAGAACCTACACTGCAGCTAAACTTACCCTAGAACAATTTTTGTACTTTTACATTATATTCCTGAATAACTGAAACATTAACTATCATTTTCTAATGCCATCAAAATAAATGTTATATCTGGACTTCATACCATTCAAATACCAGGGTTCCTCAAAGTCAGTGGCAGCTGTGGCATTTGGCACATTCAGGGATGACTGGTAAACAAGGGCTGAAATTGCACTTATTTGCCTCCTCTGCTCTTCCCTCTTAAAAATACTCAAGGTCAATGGCAACACTGGATTTTTTTTTTGAAAGAAGACAGCTATCTGTGGAGAAATGATCCCCTCAGAGATCTTTAAAGTTCATATTAAAGAAAATAACAATGAACATTATTTGAATATAAATTGAAAAATATATTTCAGTTCTGTTCAGTTAATCAGACTTAAATCTCCATGGGAAACTTGCAACACAGTTCTCAATTTAAACACTTCCCAACAATTTACAGCTTCATTTTGCCAACTTTTCCCCGAACCACACTCCCGTGAATTTACTCAACCCGGAATGCTATGCAACAACAGCTGAACAAAGCCTGTGAAAAAGAGGTTTAATATGCTGATGAGAAATAGTGCAGGAAAAAGCAGCAGCAGCTCCTGAAAAAAGTCCTCCTTTTTATTCAGATGAAAGATATCTTAGCAATGCATCTCTGCTTTCTACACTTTAGATCAACATTGGCAGATCAGTTTTCTTCTTACCTTTGCACATCTATGACCAGAAATGTTAATTAGCTTTAGGACACTCTGGCCCATCATTAGCATCAAAGTGTGAAAAATATCGGGGAGGGGGACAAGCAGAATGATGCAAAAGCTACTTGAAAGATGAACCAAACTTCATAATTTCTTGTACTTGTGCAGAACTGCTAAATTGAATTGGGTAGTAAAACTGCTGTAACACAGATCCTGTTCAAACCCTCTGTTACATGGAGAGCAGGTAAAGTGGAAATGTGTATCAATAGCAACAGCTTAATCTGTTTTTCATTTTGCACTCTGAGCCAAAGCATAAAATTGTGAGATGTTGGAGTAAGTGCCCAGGTATTGATGGCTATGGTTGGGTGAGCCCCCAGCAAACAATACACAGAAACAGAGCCCACATTGAATTTTCTTACCAGGACACAAAGGAAAGTTGATTCCAAAGGATGAGATTTGCATGTAGATACAGTTTCAGGCCCTGGAATTAGCCAGCACTGGGTTGAACTCTTGGTGCTGAAGGGATGCAGTGAATGAAGTGGGCACCTGCACCATCCAAACATACATCCACCACTGCTGGAACAATTCTTCCTCCTCCTCCTCTTCACATGTCTCTCCTACGCTGTCAGTGTTCAATTTCCAGTATAATACAGAGACATTTATATAACAGCTGTATCAAGGGAAAGGGATATATGGAATCATGAAATGGATGAAAATTAGGATCTGGCCCTTGAAGTGGATTTTGTATTCAGAGGTGGCTGATTTTAATACAACCAGAATATACAAACACACATTTATATGGTTTGCAAGAAAATGGTGAATTTCAGTTGTATTTTCACTATGAAATTGTTGGACTAAAATGCTTGTTTCCATAGTGAAACAAGACAAAAAGGCAAAAATTAAAAAAAATTAAAATCTGGAACTGATAGTTCTATTCCCATGCAAACAAAGCTGTATCTAAAGAAACCACTTGATGTAAATAATATAAAATGCTGCAAAGTATTACAGATTTTGGGGGGTTTTTAAATAATATAGAGAAACCCACACATTTTGTTTCACTATAAGTGAAATCTAAGCAACTTTAGAACTAAAAAAATATTTTCTTTTTCTTTCTCAAAAAATTAAACAATCTTTCATGTTCAATGTCAAAGGATTAACCTTTCTAACACACAAAGCAAAATTAACTGTTCCAGCTCTCAGCAGCTGACACGCAGTTGGAAGCTATTTGATGGCTTTTTGAGCAGGATACTGGAAACTTCATGTGCATCCACTGATTGCTGAGTGCTCCATGGAGCTGCTCTGGAATTGCATTTTCACACCAGTTCTTCCAGTGAAAGGCTGAACTCCATCACCTGCTCCATCACTGGCTGTATTCGGTTACTCTCACATTCTTTGCAATACCTGCACATAGGATGAACTACCTTGCCATCCCCACAAGCAACTTCTCTTACAAATCAGTCAACAGATTTTCTGTTTCATTTTAAAAACTCTGGGATTGCAAATTATTTATAACTTGAACCCCAAAGTAATGACACTATTGTTCTGACCTCTGTTGATTACTTTTAATTTATATACAGGTTAGTCCTTTTTCACCTTCTGGTCTTGTTTAAGAATATAACAACAAAGCAACCTTGACAAAATTGGAATCAACTGGTAATTAATATTCCATTTAATGGAGATTAAAGCCATGGCACTCTAAGAGGATACTGCACTTATTACATTAAGCTATATATAACTGCATCAAATGGAATATTTAAGCATTTTAAGTTGAGCATTTTATGCGTTAGTAACTCACTTAATTATTTTCTCCAGAGAACAAGCGGTATAATATCACACTGATGCATGGGGAGTTATTTGAATAAATCTTAAGGCATCAGAATAGGATCAGATACCCCAGAGCCTCACTTAAATCAATAAAAACAGGGGGAAGTAGTGGGAAGAATGCTGCTTCTGGCTTATTTCACAGCACTGTCTGTACAGCAGGTACACCAATCATGCTGAAGACCTCGCTGCCTTAACTTAATGAAAATGTAACTCATACTTTCACACTTTCATAGAAGTAAAAAGCTACCTATATTACATCCTCATTTAAAATGTCTCTGCTAGACCTCTTGCTTCATGATAATCATGTTCTAATGAATTTGAGCTGCTTAGGTCACATTATATTTCTACACGGTCACAGCAGTCTCAGAAAACAGGTGAGAATGAATCAGTAGAAAGACTGAAAGGGCATAAACAAGAAACTTCACTAACAATTCCCTGCAGATAAATAAATGAATGTGTCGCTATTTGCCAACACATAACCTCGCTAACTCAACTAAACCAGCCTCTGTCTAAAATATTTTCTGTACTGTAGCCTATTTTTATAGATCTGAATTTTATATGGGAAATATTACATCAGTAATCAATGACTGCAGAGAGAAATTGAAATGGAATTGAAGAGTCTTGAAATGAGCAAGAAAGGCAAGGAGAAAGAGAATGTTATGTTAGAGATCTGAAAAAGGGAAACAGGATTTGTTACTCTGTGTATATGTGCTTTGTTTTATACAGCATTTTCTTTTTATTGTATTGGCAAATAGTACCCATGGGTGGGGCAGGACAAATTGGAAATTAAAGCAAGAATAAGAGACTAACAAAATTGGCAGTGAAAAAGGTTTGAATCTGATTTGTACCTGATCCCAGCTGTAGCTGCTGCTGCAGGTGGGTGGCAGCCAGGGAGTTCCATCTTCTGGCCTCAAACTCCACCAGAGCTGTGGTGAAATCCAGATCACACTGTTAGTCAGAGGAGCACAAACATCAAACAGAATTCAAGCTGCAGCACTGCCCTAATTCATATGCTGCTACCCACTTTCCTGGTGGACTGTTGACAGCTGAGACTAACTCAGAAGCAAAAACCAATTTCCAACTCTTGTTTTGCTCAGAAATTTCAACTGATTTGGCATTGGAGAAAACTTGAAATTGAGCTGCTGTGGTGGTTGCCTGTTACCAAGGGACTCCTCTTGTGTAAGTGAGATTCCTACCTGGCTGCTCTCTGCCTTTTCAACTACTTTGTGCTGTTGAAAAAAGGATGTGGCCTTGGCCCACATTGTCTAGAAACTAAGAACTAACAAAATACAATACACATTTACATTAATTCATTAATATTACCCAAACAGCACAAACTTGGCTGCACTGAGCAAGATGAATATTTCTGAATATTTTGGGAAAAGCATCCAGCTGCTAGCTGGTGAGTCACATAACAAAATGCTCACTCCTCTAAAGAGTTATCCATCTATGTAAGGAATGCATGGGTTTCAATTCCCGGTGACACAGCCCACTTGACTTGGTCATTTTGATGTCATTTTTGACTTGATGCTACATAATTGCCATAATTCCTTGAAGTTATGGAAAGCTCCCCACAATGAAAGAAAATGAGAATTACTGCCTTTCTGCAGAACCTCCCCACCCCCCTTGCCTGCAGTTATTGCAGTAACTGATTTAAATTTTGCTGCTAATGAAAGTGTTCAAGATCTCCTTGTCCATTTGCTACAATTCTGCCTATCTTTCACCTTTCTCTTTCCCATGACTGTAGATTTGGGTCCTTGACTGTCAAGGATGATTTTATTCTTTTCATAGGCATTATTCCACTATGAATACATACTCACTCTTAACAAACCCAAGATTTCAGCCTTCCCCTCAGCAGGCTATTGTGACACTGTCACAGTTCTTATTTCACCTTTATAATTTGCAAATCCTTTTTTGCCTGAAGTGCCACTCATGGGTATAAGCAGACCTAAACTGTTTACACTGCCCACAGCTCTCACAGACTTCTCAAAGACCACGGGCTTATATTAAAAAATTATTTGGGAAAAAGGCTGTAGGCATTCTCCCTTCACATTTCTCCAGTTGTGCTGAATGCTTACATTGATATTTTCATCAGCAGTATTAATTCTACACACCATCTCATCCCTTAGTAATTTCCAGAAAAACCAGCATAACAGGGTGATACTTGAAGTGCTATTGAAGAGTTAGCCATGGAATTAAAATGAACTAGAGGGACGGGACTTCTTAAAGAAAGACCTATCCCCAGCTCCTCACAGTGGGATTTTGAAGGATTCAGAAATTGTAGGAGAGAGATGAACCATCTGTTCTGTCAGCTGGAGGAGGAAGGGGATTTCGAATACTGATCTAGAATAAACTCACAGTACAATATTACATCTTTTCTGGATATTCCAAAAAAGGAGACAATCATAATTGTCATTTTTTAAATTCATTATTATGTATGGTAATACTTTCAATTCAGCCTTGTGTCTTGGTCTGTAAATACTAGATATAGAACACCCAAAAGCAGAACCAGGTAATTCTAATGACTTTTCACATTTAAAAAAACAAATCCAGTGTCAGATCCCTGATTTTCTGAAAATTTCAGAACTAAATTGATATCTGAATTTTGCAGCTTAGGCCCTCCTATCTACTTTAAAGAGAGAAATTGAGAGGTTTTTGTCATTACTGATCTTTTGATTTACTTTTAGCTGCTAAGTAGCGTTACAAGAGTAACAAATGTGGGTAGAGATATGAAACTTTAGGTAAGGTTTAGCTGCAAGTACGTGTTTTCCATGATACTAACAAAAAACATCTACACAGCACAACCATCTGACTGATGAAGGGCATGTACAACAAGCTCCTGGTATTCTAGGAGTCAAAGGAGGAAGTATTATCAAACTATTTCACAAATCATATCAGTGTAAGAGTTTCCTGAGTAACTCTTCTCTCTTTAAAGTTCAGATGACTTGAAGTTTAACAAAAAATCTAGAGCATAAAAAAGAAAGCTGGGCTTCTCTAAATTAAATCAAAAGCTTCCATCAATTCTAGTTCAACCAAAATTTTGTCCTAAATTTAAGACAAAGACATGAATCTCATGGTTCATGAAGGTCAAAAGAAGGTCCACTACACATCCCTTTTCTCCTAGTTTGAACCTGCAGTAACATACAGGCTTTCTATATGAATGAGAACTTCAAAATTTAACATATTTAGAACACCTTTAGAAACCCTGAAATGAATTAAATTCTTGATATCTAATTCAGTGAATTCTAGGGTGGACCAGCAGTAATATGCAGCATAGAAGCAATTTGATTTATCTCCTGTATCCAGAAACCAGCTGGTTTCAGAACAGCTAGTTTCAAAATATCCAAAGGAACAACTGAAACTACAGCCCTTATGTGAAAAGGACAAAAGAAACAGTAAAATATTTTTTCATCAGAAGCCAAACAACTGAGCAGCTGTAATGTCTGTACTGAATCACAACTCAATCAATTCTTACCTAGTAAATTATCTGTAACTCTAGTAATTCACTGGCTCAGTAACATGGAGGGATTATGCTGTAGAACCCTACTGAAAATAAGTGCCCACAGCTCTGTTACCAGAAGTCAAGTGCCTTCTTCTCCTCACATGTCAAACCGGGTGGATTTGAGCCATCCCAAACCTCTTTGCCCTGAGCCTAGAGACCACTCCTTGTGATACAGCCCATATATTTGATTTTCAAATGAAAAAGCTGAGCAGAAATGAGGAATGGCAAGCCAAACTTTCAGGAAATCCATAGGAACTGAACTGACTTCAAAGAAGCCCGTTAATCAGGAGCTGAGAACCACTCGTAATCACTCATTTCCCTAAGCATGCTATTTTCCCAATCTCAATGGGACTGCAAGTGAGGTATTCCGACCCTAGAGCTATCACCCTTCAGACAACCCGTGATTAATCAATCATCCTTTTCATGCAAACCTCCAAGTCTGCCTTTTGCCAATGTAATCTAATCTAATCATCATCTTCCCATCTTTGCAGAACAGTCAGAGCCTCCAACCACCTCCTGGCCTCAGGGGTTTTTGCAAGGCAGGGGCAGGACCCCCATCGGGGACAGACGCTCCGGGCTGCACAAGGCAGGACTGTAAATACCCACCACAGGATGCTCCCAAGGTTTGTGCTGCTCACCATCAACCATCACTGCCCCTGCATTTTCTGGAAAGCATTGCTAGGATTGTCACCGGCCAGTGGGTGTCTAGAAACAAGGAGTGGGCAGGCACAGCAGTGTTTGATTCCTGGAACAGCAACTGAGCATAAGAGGAGAAGGCAGGCTCATAACATGTCCATACAAAGAAACTTCAGTATGGCTCAATCCAAGAATATCCATGTACCGGTTTGGAATCATATTTTTATTACCAACAGATAGAAATGGATTGCTTTTTTGGTATCAGTACAACTTCTAAAAAATGTCCACAGTCAAATGGCAATGTGGGAAGAAGGTGATTGCATTTTTTAAATAGTTTTTTATTAATACAATCTATTCTGAACATCTTTCTAGTAATTCTCCATGACAGTAAGGCTACATCAAAGAGAGGGGTTAATGAGCTACAAGTTTCTTTGCAATATAAAAATGCAGTTCTAGGAGTTTTGCCATTTTTTAAGTACAATCAAATTACCAGTACTATGTACTTGGTCTATCTTCTCCTTGTGTGAAAAGGAAGAGGTAAGAACAGCACCAAAACTCTCTGAAAATCCTTACAACAGTTCTACCTTACACCTGGTGCACATTTTGTTCCCAGCCCAGCAAGAGCATCACATTCCAGTTGAGGTCTTTATGTTCTACCCCGTAACAAACACTGCTAATTCGTACTCTGGTTCTAATACAGAATCTCTTGACATTACAGAGAGCAGCAATGAGCAGATCTCTGTTCAGCTGCACAACCCTACACTGAGCCCCAGGCAAAACCAGTTTATCCATTTGGGACAGCATACACCTGTTGTTAGTTAATCCCCAGCTGACAAATTACAAAAGGGAGGATAACAAACACGTAGATATCTAAAATGAAGTGTTTTCAGCATGACTCACCTCATAAACCCCTGGAACCTAAATGGATTAGAAGTTTATAACAGGAGTTTCACCAGGATGTTGGCTTGCTGCTAGGGCTGGCTTCCAAAATAAAGTTAGAGATCCCAAGGCATATTTAGATTTCAATAACATGAACATACTAACGGCACTTACACCCTTGAGAAAAAATTCTAAGGCTGTCTCTGAGCATTATAAAGGCTGTTTTATTCGCTTACCACTAATATCTATCTTGCTTCATTATAAAGCACTTGAAGAAAGCCTTGTGCATACAGAAAATGTTTTTCTTTCCCTTCATCGTGCATAGCTCGCTTGCCATCTAGTGGGCACAGCACGTGAATTAAAGCACAGCTACTCTCGGCAAGAAGTGAGCAGTCACAAAGCGTGTGCTTATAACAGCTTTGAATAAAATATTTTAACTAGCAGCAGAAAATTATTTGCATAGCTAGCAGGACTGCCTGTTAGATTGCCTTGAATGATAAATTTTGTCCAAGTCCTAGGCAACCTCATAAAATAAATCTTTTAAAAAACACTTTCTTCCATGCCATAGCTTCTTTTTAGTCTCAAAAAAATAAACCACACTGATGAAATCAGATTATAGTTCATTTTAAAATACTGCCGAGATAATTTGCAACACTAGACTACTGAGACAAAAAACACAAGCATCCAAAGCCTCCATCTTCAAGAAAAAACAAAACATCCTCTCATTTTTAGTCTGGAGAATGAAGAGTTAAGAAAAAACATCTTGCACTTCCTTGATTCAACCCCCCAAAGTACAGTCAATTAATTACACGTTTAAATTAAGCATTTGATTAAGTGTCTTCCTTGACCAGAGAGCTCAGTATCTTATTGACCTATGAGTCTGAGTTACAGCTCATTTGCTTTGAAACCAGCCCAGGACAATGAACACCAGGAAACAATGATTTTGTGCTTGCATGCATCTATTTAAAAATGGAGTAAATCCTTAAATGATACAGAGCTGAATCAGACTGAAAGGGTCAGTAACCCTTCAAAGTTTTATATAATTCTTTCAAACGACACTTTGTGTAAGTTTTAGTATGCTTCTGCATTGTCAATTTTAAGGGGATTAAAATACTTGAAAAATTCCTTATAAGAGTCAACAGAGGACAAAAAATATTTATCAATCAGAAAAGAGAGATTGTACAGTCCCTCTAATTTCCTGTTCAGAAAATTATATTCTGACCCTGAATGTAGACTGAAATCATCAAATAACATGCTGTGTACATTTTTTTTCTTAATCAAGTTAAACATCTGCTAATGACCACAGGGAATGACATAGGCCACAGCTGGCTAGATCATGCCATGTGATTACTGCTTAGCCATCATTTATGTAATTAGTTACAGACCTACTAAGCTACTTAAAACACATGTTAAAAATCTAATGAGGAGCTGACACCAGTGGGTCTTTATAGCATGCTTAAATCCTTCCCAAAAAATGTTTGAATACGTCTCTGACAAGCAAACAGGATACATGCAGAAAATGATTGTACACCAAAATATTACTGCTTTAAAGGAACACATGTATTTACTCAAGGGAATATTTCTGAGTATGCATGTTTTCAAAAGATGTATCGACAATACCCTTTTCTCATTACAATCTCAGTTCTATAGGGCTGGCAACACATGGGGAAATTTTTATTGTGGCTAGTCATATTCCAAAACTTAAACCCTACCAGGGAGAACTGGCCTTCCAGAGGGAATAAATACAAGCACTTGAGTGAGTCTCTCAGCAGCAGTTTTGCTAAATCTATGTGATTCTGCCTTTGGCCAACATGGAATGAGCTGCTGGATTGGGGCCCAGAGGGGCACTTCCCAGCAATACCTGCAGAAAGCCAGATTCAGATACTGGCAGCCTCAGCCCCAGGCCAGCCCATGCCTGCTGCTCCTGTTCAGGATCTGCCTGCCAGGAGCACCTTAACCACTGCAAGGATGAGACCAGGACACACTGAAATCCAAGCCATCACTTATAAAACAGCCAGTATCAAGGGGAACTGTTGGAATTGTGCATAATTATGGTCCTTCAAACATTTCAGTTTAACATCAGGGAAGTGCAAAGTGAGGCAGAATGGCAGGTAATGAGGAAGGAGTTTTGTTTTCTCAACAGGCAGCATTACAGTCAGAGCTCTCCTTACAAGCCAGAGGATGTCTGTTGAGCGTAGGCATCTCATTTGGAAGGGTGACATGGGATATATCAACACAGAATGTTAAACACTGTCTCCCATAATGCTGTGGAGGAGTTTCTTTACTTGTCAAGTTACAGGCTCTTTCAAATAAAACTTTCAGTTCTGTTCCTCAGCTTTTTCTTCAAAATTGGATGAAGCCCTGAGCAACCTAATGCTGGATTTGGCCCTACTCTGATGGGGACTGGACCTGCTAAGCTACTGACCTGGCAAGTTCCCTGAACTATTCTTGAGGTGCATTTATTGCTTGAGACAAAGTACAAAGAACAGGTGTAGTTATACCACAGAATGGGTTCACCACCAAAGAAAGAATATTTCCTTCTTCATCTCTTCTGGCCAACAAATCCACATCTGTTAAAAGTAAGCATCATAAAAAGGTAATCAGATCAATTTTAATTCCAATCAGTACAGAGAGCAGATATGACTGGTGATCAGAACTAGACTCCTGCTCTGAACTCTTCTCCAGAGAAAAGTTAGCAAGTTCTCTTCAGAGTCTCTAAGAAACAATAACAAAATGCACAACCTGAGAACTCAAACACCCAAACTTCAGTGTAATTGATTAATATGATAAACCAGACAGATCTACATAAAACAATACATCTCACAATAGTATGTTTATTACAAATGCCTACAGGAGTATGTAGGCAATGGAGCATGAAGAAGTATTCATTAAGTTTCAGCTTTTCAAGCTATTAAACATTCTGTCCTGATCACACCAAACACTTTGGTGTGTTACTAGAGGACTATTGCACTCATGTTTAAAAGCAAGAGTATCCTTAAGCAACTTGCAAAAATGAAACTTCATTCAACCATTCCAAATTCCTGTTGTTTGCACACATCAGGACTGACTCCAGCTAAGTCAGTAACAAAACACTAATCTTTACACAATGTAAGATGAAAATCCCCTATTAAGAGAGCAAAGCCTTTGCATTTCTATCACAAGCTCAAGCAGATTTTTTTACCAAGTAAATTTGAAAATTTATGATTTGGAGCAGAGGCCTAGATACTCAAAGAACTGGATTTGGCTGTCAGGTTTCAAGTTTTGCAGTCACACAGCAAAGTTAAATATCTGAACTATTTATGGTTATTTTTATTTTAATCTACAGGTAGATGAAATAATAGGTGTAATCATTACTCCAAATTAAAGATTCTGCATGGATAGCTCCATTTCTTACTTAGGTATTTCTTAAAGACTGTTTTTTCTAAGTTTCTTTTTCTTTTCTCCATAGTTTTACAAATGGTATAATACCGTGTTATTTATTTCCATCTTTATTTTCCTTTTTTTTTTTTAAATAACAAACAGCACTAAAAGCACAAAAAAAAAAAAAAGATAACCTGAAAACTCTTTAAAAAGTCACAGAAAGCCTGAAGAAACAAATACCAAGGGTCATACCAAAGACCAAAGGTCATACACAGAAGTAGGAAATTCAGTAGAACTTTAAAATATTTACACCTGCTTACAAGGTAAAAAGAAAGAGCTTTACAAATGTATATTTTGAAATGCTGAGCATTCCCACAATGTGTTAAGTATCGTAACTACTTAAACACTTCTACCTACATAAATTATCCATATTGTTTCTGTCTGATATGCATATTCCATTTACACTCACATTGTAATTTACTATGACTGAATTTAGCAAGCCAACTGGAAACAAACACCCTGAATCCTGGGTGAGCTCTCAGAGCTCCACAGTGTTCAGAGGAAAGACAAATGCTATGCCCCTAACAGGAATAAAACATTCCCTGCTATACACTACACTCCCAGCTCCTTTAGCAGGAGTGTAGTGTATTTCTGCATCTTCCTTTGGGTCCCTGCTCCCTCAAGTTTGAACACCAGCCTATTAGGGAGTAACACCCTTTTCAGGTATGGGCATATGGTAACACAAAAGTTGGTAGCAGCCAGTCTGTTTTCAGAGTTGTAACAAAATCTGCAGACAAAAGACTTAGGAATAAACAGTGTGATTTGTGATTCTTCCTGCCATGCTCAGGCAAGCAGCCACATCACATTTGTGAGGACTGTTTATATGAGCAAACACTACTTAGAGGGAATATCACTTGTAGACTTGGACCCAAATCAATCCATTATGGCCACAGGATAACATTACAAATTAAACTGTAAAGCAATTAACACCATACATACCAGAAGTCTGTAAAAACCTCACCTGGGAGTATGAAGTCTCCTAAAACCCCCTTTCTGCCCTGCATTTTAGCTGCATTCAAGATAACACCTTAAGTGCCTATATTTTCCCCAGATGATAAATTATAATTGTAATGCTAAAGGCACCTCAAAAACATTCTTGCTGCTCTTGGAATCCTGTAACAACTTCCTCGTCATGAAAGTCCAGTATCTAGAATTCTGATTCAAGACCAGTTTTTTATTGCTGCAATAAAGTGAGAAAAACAGAGGGAAGGACAGCGACCAAGAGAACAGCCAGCGTGAGGGGGGCGATTACACCTCACAGTACCATAACCTGGTTTTAAATACCCGTGCTTATGAAATTCCCACAAAGCCCTTCAAGAGAGTGCCAGTATTACTTTATCAGAAAGATACTCCAATTGGCATTCTATAATCTCACAATCTCTGGACTATTTATGGTCCACAAAAATTTACAGCTTCCCACAGCCTTCCTCACCACCCCTCCCCATGAAGGGCTTGTAAGTCAGTTCACAGAGGAAAGATGACTGGGGGCAGTGTTTTATTGGGTGTGTATTTAAAACAAACAGAAAACTCCAGCGTGTAGCAGGAAACTCGGGCAGAGCACTAGACCAGGATTCGGGAGAAAAACATTTGTGTCCATTCCTGAGGGGGTCTCAGGGATGGAGGTCTCCCTCCTCTGCTCTCCCTCATGTGGCGTTGTGCTGTGGAAGGACCACCCCGCACCGCGTTACGATAATTCATTCTGACTAATTAATTCCTACAAAACCTTCACTTAATTGTGGGGAGGAAAAGTTTACCTCCGACTTGGCGGGGCACTTACAGCAGAGCTGCCTCCAGAGAAGACTTCCACACGGCCGGGGCTGGGCTTTGGCGGGGCCGGGGCTCCCGGCGAGGGAAGCGGGGCGGGGGACGGAGGCTGAGAGCTGAGGACGGAGGCTGAGAGTTGAGGGCGGAGGCTGAGGGCCGGGAACGCAGGCTGAGGGCCGGGGACGGAGGCTGAGGGCGGAGGCTGAGGGCTGAGGGCGGAGGCTGAGGGCTGAGGGCTGAGGCGGCGC